TAATCTTGACACTAAAATGGCAAACATGGTGGTGGAAAAGGTCATAAGCGTGTTGAGGCATGTTCATGGGTGATCCTTACGAGTTCAAACATGGCATCAATATCTTGTGGTGGGATGGTTACACCGTCGTTCTTGATGTAAAGGAAGCCATGTTTTGAGGCTGCATCGAGTACTTGCTGGGCGACCTCTTTGGATGGGTTGGAAATTTCAATTACTGGAATCGAATTTTGAATTTTCGTCATATCAGACATGTTGGATGAGAGTTGATGTAGAAAACAAGTGAGGGGTACAGATAAGATCTGGTGGCATGCGCAGGTAGATAAGATTTGCAAGGTGATTCCAATCTCGTGTATAACCTGGACGGGAACTATTTCAGTTAATCTCACTTAAGCCCTACCCGTCGGTCGACTTTACTATGGGCCGTTATTTGGCCAGATACCGTACCTGAGCTAGCGCGCGGTTGATGATCAGGGATATTCCGGCGTGTGGAGCTGCGTCTGAGCTTCCAATTTCACGACAACAAACCCCCGCAACCGGTACCGCCAGATCGCACCTAGCCGTGTTTACAGTGACGTCGGAGGTCATTGCGATATCATATTAACTGCATTACTGGCTATTCGCCCGCAATACATTTTTAGGCTCTCCAGCATAATCGACACGCGACTGGCATCATGATTCGCGACTTCGTGCAATGGACGGCCGCCATTGTCGAGCAAGGCGATCTCACCGAGCTGCGCAGCAGTCGCGTAGGCATTGAAGCCGCCGACTATCTTAACCAGCGCATCTTGAATCACCCCCGCGCAAAGGAACCACTCGTGCCCGCACTCGGAGGCCTCCCACTTGCCCTAACACAGCACATTGAAGAAGACCTGGCAACATTTCGCAGCCACGAGATTGAGCCGTATTTTATCTTTAGCGGGTTGGACCTCACAAAGCAAGGAAACCCTTTCGGACAAAAGACAGCAGAGGCCACGGTAAATGCTGATGCATGGAATTTGTACGACAGCCACCAGGCCGAAGCTTCAGTCGCCAAGTTCGGGGAATCAAGTACGACCGACGAGTAGCTCTTGAGAATTATACTGATGACTCGCAGCATATGTCACGCCAGAAGACCTTTTTCGCGCGCTGCAGTCAATCCTCACCAAGCAAAACGTTCGCTGGCAGGTTGCGCCCTACAGTGCCTGGGCTCAGGTAAGGAAACGATAACCTTGCGCTGGCATTGGCTGACAAGACATAGTTGGCATACTGCGAGAAGAACGAATACGTACACGCTGTCGCCGGATCATCGGACCTTCTCATCTTCGAGTGTGCCAAAGTCATAACATCGTGGGATTTCGAGGCGCGACAATTCAGCTTCATACGGCGGGAGAAATGCGTAGCCGATTTATCCAAGTTTGTTGGCGCGTCCACAGTCACGGATGACATCTTTCTGGATACCTGCCTCCTCGCCGGCACCCCATTCCTCCCTACACTTCCCATACTGGATGCGCCGAACAGGGCAGATCTTCTGAAGCCACATAGTGCGATAAAGATGATCATGAACACAACTGGGCAGTCGGGATTCTCTGTCGTGGTTAGCAACAACGATGTCCCGCCCTCAGGCAAGGAATATGTCACCCGGTACCAAAAAGCACGCCTGGCAGTCAAGAATCACCCTGTCTATACCGAAGAAGGCAAAGTTGAGCCCCAAAACTCGGCCTCTATGCCAAATGACGCAGGTCAATACTTGGGTCAACGCTTACCAGACGAGATCCTCCACTACATGTCCAGGGGTCTGATCAATGCACGCATTCTTCAGTGGCGTACTACTTGCGAAGTGTTCGAAGTCCCTCCTATGGATGGTGGAGAGTCGCCAGAATACAGGAATCTTGTCAGCGTCAAGCTCATTCCCCTACGTACCGCAGCCATCAACTTGCTCAGTAGCTCGTTACACAACTGGTACCGGCATAAGCCTCTGGAGCAGACCAACTGGTTCTCAATCACTGAGCCGACCAGGAAATCGGCGTCCACGACTATTCACGTTGAGAGGCCATCAGAAGCCCAATCCCCTTCCATAGTCGATACATGGAATGTGAAAGAAGCCGTCTTCAAGGACGCCATTGGACAATACAAGGTTAGTAGCGACGTAGTTTCAGTGTCATGATATACTAACGCGACTGGAAGGATTGTGGAAGCCTCGGCGCAGCTATCTTATCACTACAGGACGCCGACTTCGTCTCCAAGACTATCGCGAAGAAGAATCCTAAGAACCCTCTTTCGACCGCCCCGGAAATCCTTTACAACTCGATATGGCGCTTCCTAGCTCTGCGTGAGTATGTGGACGTCAAAACCCATAGCTTAACCCAGTGGGGCAAGGTACTCGCTGCCGTTATCAGTGGTCTCAAGGGAAAGGCAGAGCATGAAGCAGCAGTGCTCGCTGTAGAGCTGATCCGTATGGGTCTCCTCATTTCCGATATCAACATGTTCCCGACATACAACGGCGCGCCGATGCGTGGCAGCAGTGAGTATATCGGCCAAACCCAGGCTCGCATGACTGACAACTCGACAGCAAAAGATAAAAACGCCAACATGCTTGTGTCTCGCGTCGCTGGTCTCGGCATTTTGCATCATCGACCCATTGGCTTCACAGGTCCTCTTAGCCAGCATCTTCTCGGATACAACTCCATCATCAATGTTGTACGTCAGACACTACGCGATCTCGTAGAAGTGGCAGCTACACACATGTTCGCAACTGGATGCTGTAATAGACATGCAGACATCAGTGCGATTGCTATGCAGTAAGTTGCTCGTGATGGCGCATCCAAGCATCCTATTAACAACCCCAGACTACCATTTCTCCTGCCCAACAACTGTGCGCTCAGTATCGCCGTCAAATCGTACCTTGACGAGTTATTGAGCAACGATGCCGACCCCACTTCTCCAGAGACCAAAGCTAGAGTGGTGGACACTGCGTCGATGCGCTACTTCCCACAATCTCTCCAGTTCGAAACTGATCTTAAAATGGCTTTCTCTCTCTGGGATGCCATTTATGCTGGAGTCAACAGTGCAAATAATACCACAATCCCTGAGGCTACCAAGCAGATATGGACAGAAACAGACAAGTGGCTCTCTGAGCGGCGCTAGAGTCGTGAAGCTCCGGATATGAACAGTGTCGTGAAGGCTAAGCTATGGTCTGTCCTAGAGAAATTGACGACTGGCCGGACCTGTGGGAGGGCAGTCGAGGAGCAACTTGAGAGGACAGAGTTGTGGAGTTTGTCGTACTGACAGATGGTAAGAAGAAGACAAGGCAGAAAAAGATAAACGCAATTCGTCATGTCATGCGTCTGAATTAGCTGGCTACATGGAAGGGATCATGACGAAAGTACTCTGGATAGCGAGTGAGGCTTCAAAAGGTGGTGGCCAAGACTGCTGAATGATGATGATGGTTACAGGGAGGGGAGTGTACAGCCCCGGCTTATGCAGTCTTTGAGTAGTTCCATATGAGAAATTATGAAGTCGAGCTCGAATCTATGGCTTGAGTGAGCATCTATGGCTAGAATGCGTGAACATCAAGTAATGATGTCTTGGAGGAGGCTTAGGCAATATTTTGCCAACTTTTGACACAAAGCGGTGGCGTAGTGGCGACATTTCTTCACTCAATCATCGGGATATTGTGGTCGTGTGGAATATGCTCGCTTCTGTCTTCAGAAGTAGAGTATAATTTTCACGGGGACTGATTCTTATGACAGTATGGTTTAATGGCATATGTTTCATGACACCCGCATATATCAAAGCACATTCTACATACCGCAAATTTATCAAATTGAATGAAACAATAGTCCAAGTGACAATTTGACATTCCACAGGAATATTTGCAAGAGTACGACAGCGTAGATTTTGATCCACATGTCTAGGTCATCTTTTCTTGTTCAAGGGCCCTGGCCCAGGTGCATCACGGACCGTATTCCTTATCGATACAGGCGGGGGCAAGGGTGACCACCTTGATAAGGCCAGGTGTTGTAGTTGTTGTGTGAATGAACAGATGAAATTAGACTCTGCAGTAGCTTTAATGCAGACTACTTGTATGAAACCAACATATTTGCTTCTTTCATAGAAACCAGTGGGCTTGCGGTGAATTCATACGTCTTGCGGTGAACCGCGATAGCTCCGCCTCCATACTAGTCGGTGAAATTCTGATAATAAGACAGACCTTGCAGTGTTGTCACTCTATGCTTACCAAGCTTATCATTCACCATTCAAAAGCCCTCGGGCGAAATCTGGAAGTGCTTCTTGGCAATGTCTGTGGTGGCGTAAATGAGGCTGCAGCAGGCAGCAGGTGGACGCGTTGCAGCACCAGTCTCACCTAGGAAAGCACATACTGTGGTACAAGTGAAGGCAATTGGCCACATTGGCGCCTTCTGAAGGCGTCGCGGAGTAATGCACCAGTGAAGGGGACACAGTGTTGCTTAAGAGGGTCGCTTGTCTAAGTGGTTCCAGCAACTTCCACTTCCACTGCGGCGGAAGGAGCACGGACCCAGGGTAACATTGAGCTAGCTCCAGCAGCAGTGAGATCACCGCTGTTCAAGCTCCAACTTACTTAAACCACCACACCCCGAACATCGCAAGACCATCCACCTCCATCTTGCCCCCCACTCACTCACAACCCACTCCACCGCGCTGCAACCCCCATTTCCGTTCTTTGCATCAGAGACGCAAAACCCCGCAGCGACACATAAAAACACATCAGCAAGATGTCGGCTGAACCAGATCACTCGAAGCCGAAGGTGGACCTTTCAAAGTACGTGCATTTTCATCGCTATTATTTTGCCACATTGCTAACAAGTCTTCAGAAACCCGGATGGCGCTGAGCCCAAAGACGTAGGCATTACCAAACACCTGTCCAGGATTGCCCTTACTGACCCGCCACAGAACGATGAGACCGCAACTGCTATCCTCAAGAAGAAGAAGAAGCCAAACTCGCTCATGTAAGTGCATTGAACAAACCAACCAAAAAGTGCAATGCTGACTATCCCAGTGTTACCGATGCCGTAAACGATGACAACTCGATCATCGCGCTCTCAAACAACACCATGGAGACTCTCCAGCTCTTCCGTGGCGACACAGTTCTCGTCAAGGGCAAGAAGCGGAAGGACACTGTTCTCATCGTTCTTGCTGATGACGATCTCGATGATGGGTCCGCGCGGATAAACCGTGTTGTTCGCCACAACTTGCGGGTCAAGCACGGCGACGTTATCACCATCCATCCATGCCCGGACATCAAATATGTATGCATCACACATTTTTTCTGAATCTTGAGCACCATGCTAACTAATTTTCTAGGCCAAGCGCATTGCGGTCCTTCCCATTGCCGATACCGTCGAGGGTATCACCGGCTCGCTATTTGACGTTTTCCTTGCCCCATACTTCCGCGAAGCCTACCGACCAGTTCGTCAAGGTGACACCTTCACAGCACGCGGTGGTATGCGACAGGTTGAGTTCAAGGTCGTGGAGGTTGACCCGCCTGAGTTCGGTATTGTGGCACAAGATACGGTCATCCACTGCGAGGGCGAGCCCATTCAGCGTGAGGACGAAGAGGGCAACCTCAACGAAGTCGGATACGATGACATTGGTGGCTGCCGGAAGCAGATGGCTCAAATCCGAGAGCTGGTCGAGCTGCCACTGAGACATCCCCAACTCTTCAAGTCGATCGGTATCAAGCCCCCGCGTGGTATTCTCATGTACGGACCGCCCGGTACTGGTAAGACGTTGATGGCTCGCGCTGTCGCCAACGAGACTGGCGCGTTCTTCTTCCTAATCAACGGCCCCGAGATCATGTCCAAAATGGCCGGTGAGTCCGAGTCGAATCTGCGAAAGGCATTTGAGGAGGCCGAGAAGAACTCTCCGGCCATCATCTTCATTGATGAGATCGATTCGATAGCGCCTAAGCGTGACAAGACCAACGGTGAAGTCGAACGCCGTGTCGTCTCGCAACTGCTTACCCTCATGGACGGTATGAAGGCTCGATCCAATGTCGTCGTCATGGCCGCCACCAACCGCCCCAACTCGATTGATCCCGCTCTTCGTCGTTTCGGCCGTTTCGATCGTGAGGTCGACATTGGTATCCCCGACCCTACCGGCCGTCTGGAGATTATGCAGATCCATACAAAGAACATGAAGCTCGGCGACGATGTCGACCTACAGACCATCGCCGCGGAGACTCACGGTTACGTCGGTTCCGATTTGGCGTCGCTTTGCTCAGAGGCTGCCATGCAGCAGATTCGTGAGAAGATGGACCTCATCGATCTGGACGAGGATACTATTGACGCAGAAGTGCTGGATTCGCTCGGTGTAACAATGGAGAACTTCCGTTTCGCCCTTGGTGTCTCCAACCCATCCGCACTTCGCGAGGTTGCCGTTGTCGAGGTTCCCAACGTCCGATGGGAGGACATTGGTGGTCTGGAGGAGGTCAAGCGCGAGCTCATCGAGTCCGTACAGTACCCCGTCGATCACCCCGACAAGTTCCTCAAGTTTGGCATGTCTCCATCGCGAGGTGTGCTATTCTACGGTCCTCCCGGTACTGGTAAGACGCTGCTTGCCAAGGCCGTTGCCAACGAGTGCGCTGCCAACTTCATCTCCATCAAGGGTCCCGAGCTGCTCTCCATGTGGTTCGGTGAGTCTGAGAGCAACATTCGTGACATTTTCGACAAGGCTCGTGCTGCTGCACCCTGTGTCGTTTTCTTGGATGAGTTGGATTCCATCGCCAAGTCTCGTGGTGGATCGCAAGGCGACGCTGGTGGCGCGTCGGACCGTGTCGTCAACCAGCTTCTGACTGAAATGGACGGTATGACATCAAAGAAGAACGTCTTCGTTATTGGTGCTACCAACCGACCGGAGCAGCTGGACAATGCACTGTGCCGTCCTGGTCGTCTCGACACACTTGTCTACGTTCCTCTGCCCGATTTGGCGTCACGTGCCAGCATCATCAAGGCGCAGTTGCGCAAGACTCCGGTCGCTGACGATGTCGACATTGACTTCATCGCCCAGAACACACACGGCTTCTCCGGTGCTGATCTTGGTTTCGTCACACAGCGTGCTGTCAAGCTCGCCATCAAGCAGTCGATCGCGATTGACATTGAGCGCCGCAAGGCTCGCGAAGCTGCTGGCGAGGATGTCGACATGGAGGTTGACGAGGAGGACCCGGTACCTGTGCTCACCAAGGCTCACTTTGAGGAGGCGATGCGCTCTGCTCGTCGCTCGGTGACTGATGTTGAGATTCGCCGATACGAGGCGTTTGCGCAATCGATGAAGAACTCTGGTGGGTCAAGCTTCTTCCGCTTCCCCGATGCAGAGAACGCGGCGGCTGGGGCGGACCAGAACACCTTCGGTGCAGGCGGTGAAGACGAGGATCTATACAACTAAGGGCCAGTTTTGGATTGTGCACGCAAGAAGATGATATGGATTCATGATGGATGAAATTTCCTTATGGCATGAGAGGCCTAATCCTCTAGATAGAAGGAGGCAGTTATTGGTTGGTGCTGATGGAGATGATCGGTAGTAGCATATCTACGAGCCAGATCCTCAATGAGAAAGCATGTTAATAATTTTTTGATGTGGTTTGCTATATAAGATGTGATGTACACAACAAACATGATGGGGGCGATCAAAACACCCACGACCATCTTTATGGAAGACATGATCATTTCAGAGTCATCGTCATGTTGCATACGGTGATCCGATCTCATCATGTCTTCCGTAAAGATGGTGATTTTATTTTGGTCGCCCCCATTGCTCTTGTTCTCCATGTTATTCAGAAAGAACGATGCGTCTTAGTCTAGAGCATGCAGGCGAGCCTCTGCTGCAGCACGTCTTTGATACTGAGGGTCGATCAGACATGATTTGAAACGGTGATGATGAGAACCTTAGCCCCGCTTGTACCTATTTCGGGCATGCGGGTATTAGCGGGTTGCAGGGCTAAATCGGCTGAGGTGCGGGTCTCGCGGAGCTGGTATTGTTTTGCGATTCTCTTCTTGTCCAGTTTCCCGTGTGGGGTTCGTTCGCTTTGGGAGAGATATGTTTATCATACGACTATGGGTGAAGCAAATCCAGGGGTGGTTTGAGAGAAAGAAACACGGGGCGCGCCTATCACTCCTCGTACGTGATTTCGCAAACCTTCTCCAACTCCTTCATGACCGTCTTGGCACCGGCCTCAATAGCCACCCTGGGAATCTTCAGATCGATTTGCTCGGCCATCTCGGCATGGCCATTCGTGCCGTTTTCGCTCGCCGCCGCCGCCTGACCGCCCAGTCCGCGCGTCTGCTCCCGGATCTTTTGCATGGCTAGGTTGCGCGCCTCCTCGCATGTAGTGGCCTGGCCGGAGCGGAACAGATGGGTGATGTAGGCGCGGAGCTGGTCCTTGAAACCGGAAGCGCGCAACGACTCGTCGAGCGTCGATTCAATGTTGCGGATGCCGTCGCCCGAAAGCAGGGCCGAGTAGATGTTGTTGCGCAGTTCCTGGGAGATGCCGGATTGGGCCTGAGTCGTAGTGATGGAAATGGAGTCGACCATGTTTGTTTGGCGCAAGGTGGGTATTAGGAGTCGATGGAGTGGAGACCAAGAGGGTGGATTCGCGGAGAGAAAAGGAGGTGATGTGTATGAGGTTGGATAATAACACAGGTGATTAAGCGTGATTTGGGTCGGAAAGAAAAGAATCAATATCGGGGCAGATGCCGTATGGGCGCGGTAGCTGCTGATCCTGTTCGCGTAGGCGGCGGGATGTGGGCGCACGTGGGAGTGTGCGGCTTTGAGGGTAATGTCGGGTACAGGACTGCAGTCAGCTTTAGCCAGCTTTTCTCTTTGTGCAGCAAGCCGTATTCGCACGGATGCGCGGGATATACGGGCCTTAGGGCTGGTTGCAGGGCTGGCTGTGGCAGCGTTGGCGGTGAAGATCGCTGGAACGATGTGCGTGGTTTACCGGTGATGTGCAGGTCGTGTGCAGGCTGGTGCTGTGGGAGGGCTGGTGGTTACGCAGCGACGGCGGCAGCTGCCAGTTTAGTCTTGAGGCGGGGAAGGTGTCATGGAGTGTGTGGTGTCATTAACTATGGTGGACTGTGGTTTGGTGCGAGTGAAAGAGAGGCTATTGTCGACGGGCGGACGTTAGTAGGGTGCTGGGAGGGCCGAATGGGGTGTTCGGGGCGGTGCCAGGCTGGACGGTCGTCGTCGGCCGGTACCTGCATCTTCTTTATCGCAAATATTGGTTGCACGCTTCATAGCAGATGGGCACGGGCCCGGCTACCCGCTCTGGCTCCGGTCGCCCAGATGCCCTGCTAGGCGCCCGTGATCGGGTATTGGGGAGTATTGGCAATCCATCCAGAAGCAGAAGCAGATGTCAGTCTCGAGCGTGGTGCAGTGTGTAGTGCAGTATTGAGTCTATCGTCTATCGTCTATCGTCTGGAGTATTCACCATTCACCGTCAAGCATCGATTCGTCTACGCCACCCTCGACTTGCCTCGACTTGCCTCGTCTTCCTCTCCGCCACGGCGCCTGTTACAGCTTGTGCATTGTTGCGTCGTGCTGCCTGAATCTTGGAGCTTGGGTCGAATGCAGTGAATGCACTCGACTCCCCTGCAAGGACCATCGCAGCCACGACGATACGCGCTCTCTCCCCAGCGTCAGGCGTCGACAAAGCGCTTAACCGCCACAACGCCCCCGGCCTGGCAGCATCGACACCCTCCCCCGCCTTGTGTGAGGCCTGCTCCGCCGACTAGCCTCTGTATCTGAGACTGCGCCTGCATTCCGACCTACTCCCGCAAAGCACGAAACACGCCGTCTTCATCTCGCTTCGTCTCAGACAGGGTGCCTGTCGACGACACCGGCCTCAAGCTGCCTCCAGGACCAGCCTCGACGCTTAGCGCAACCCACGTCCATCGATAACACCGACGTCGTCCCCTCCATCAACAAGAGACGTGGGCTTGGCACCTGAACACATCTGATCCCGACCATGGCCTATACGACAAAGTACCACGACGACTCGGACGCCGATGACGAGTTCGAGCGCCAGGCCATCTCCAGCCCGACACTGCCCGCAGAGTACGAGAGCTCTCCCACCAGCTCCGGCCCGCTGAGCACCGAGCACACGCCCACCACCTTCACCCACTCCAGAGACAGCAAGAGCAGCCCCACGGGCCTCATCATGGACTGGAATGAGGACCAGACGGCCGACTTCATTGCCGACCTAGGCCTAGAGCAGTACTCGGACAACTTTGCCAGTAGGTCGCTATATCATGCAACTTAACCGCCCGTCTTGCTAATGACGTCTTTGCAGATGAGGGCATCACAGGCGACGTGCTCGCCGCACTGCAGCACGCCGAGCTGAAAGAGCTAGGTGTAGGCAGTGTGGGCCACCGCCTCACTATCCTCAAGGCTGTCTACGAGATCAAGATACGGCAGAATGTGCCTCTTGACCCCGAAGACTATGTGCCGCTTTGTGAGTTTACAGCACTTCCCACCCAGCCCCCACCTCTAGGCCCCCCTCTACAACCTCCATGCTAACCCACCCTATAGCCGCAGACACAGCTGCACAGGAAGCCCCGCCCACCCAAGACGACTTTGCCAAAGTCATTCGCGTCGTCCAAGCGCGTGACGAGCGCATACACACGGCCGAATCCGAGCTCCGCCACCTCAGAGAAGACCTGAGCAGAGTAATAGACGAGAACAAGCGGCTGCGCGAAGAGATCCTGCCGCTGATGCGCATGCTCAAAGACAGCCAGCCATTGCCCACGCCCCACGAGCACAACCTCACATCACCGCCAGCTACGCAGGAGTCGAGATCCGTGGGAAGTAGTTTGTCGCGTAAGTTCTCCACCAAGAAGCTTTTCCTTGGATCTGCGCCAAAGAACCCCTCTCCCACCATTCAAGAACATCGCGCTCTTGTCGATCATTCTTCTTTGGATCCTTCAGCAGCAGCCATTGCAGCCTCCTCACACCTTACAGCATCTCTCAATGATGGCCGCCCACAAATGTCGCCAAACTCCATCGCCCAGCCCTCCCCCACATCACCCGCCTACACACAAAGCAGCCGCCAGTACACCCGCGACTTGCGAAGTGCACACGACCACGATAGCAACAGCTGGAGCCAAACCAACACATGGAACTCGGATACAACAGCTGTATCTGACCGCAATCGCGATCCCCGCGCTACTCCCGCACCATTATCGTCTCGTCCGATGCGAAACAATGCCGCACCAACGCCGACCCCCGACGATCGAGACCCACCTCTTTCTGGTGGATCGAGTGCAATCAACACCCCCGCTTCTTCCAATCCCGCTTCTACTCCGTCGACGAACCCACAAGTCGAGATATTCAAATCCTTCCGCGTATCCATCGACGACCCGTGCCACAAGGTGCTTCCCGTTGCGCTCAAAAAGTATAATATTACGGCAGACTGGCGGCAATATGCATTGTACATTGTACACGGTGATCAAGAGCGGTGTCTGGGATTGAACGAGAGGCCCTTGATATTATTCAAGCAACTTGACAAGGAGGGCCGGAAACCCATGTTCATGCTTAGAAAGCATGCGGCACCACAAGAAGGCCATGTGAGCACCGTGGGTGGAAATGATGTACGGCCCGTCAACCCACAGACAGAGAGCTTTGGGTGGGGGAATCAAAACAGAGGCACACCACTGCCCGGTGGTGTGTTGTAAAGGAACAACCACGCTGCCAGTGCTAGAAGAGATCAATTTTGTCGTCCTGGGGTAGGACGACATTGTAAGAGCATGGGAATACATGAGAAAAAGCCTCGGCTGCCTGATGGCTATGCACGTTGTGCAATACGGTGGACATATGAAGACACCAGGGGGGAGAGAAGAGAGAAACAGTCTACATCTCTGAAGAGCAAATGGGCGACAACAACGTGTGTGGCGTCATCACATGCAACAAAGCACTGCATGGCTGGAGTTTTGGGCGCAATCTTTTTCCTTTTTCACTTGACGGGCGCCACACCTTTTCTCCATTTTGGCTGGCATCGTTACGGCTCTCCTTTGTCATTTTACTTCCATTTGTGACTTTTTTTTTCTCTTCAAACAGCAATGCAACGGGGAACTTGGGGGAATCATCACCAGCACAACTGTGTATTTTACTTGCTTAGAAAGGGGCCGGGGAAAGGGGTTCACATGTATACTGGGTGGGAGCAGAGTGGAGCATAACTGGCTGGGTTAAGTGGGGTTTAAACGAAGAATTCAAAAGAGAGAAGGCGAGAAGGCAATTTTATAAGATGGGATGTTCTATTCGTTTCCCTGTCGTGTTTGCTCTGTGTAGAAGGGTACGTTTTTCAGGAGACCCCCATAACCTGGTCCTGATACTGAAAAGAGCCTGAAGAGGTCCTGGAGAATGGGGGAGACGGGAAGCCAAACGAGCAGAACAGGGCAGGAGAGAGAAAGAACGAAGAATGGCGAATATAGTCGGTTTCGTCCGTAAAGTATCATTATCATCATTATCAAGACATGTATTGGAACAAGGTCCCTCTATTAGTATGACTACTATGGATAACCGAGTGGGAGGAGGGACAAGGCGGGGTGGCTGCAACGTATTGTATTGACTATCGTGTCATATTTCAAGCTCACAGGCTGTTATGGTGGATGCCATTGCCCACCGGGCAGTGCCTGCCACACCAGCACATCATGTGACCCCCAAGCACCTTCTACCTGGACTGAACCCAGATATTCTCAACAACATGTGTTTTTATTCTTAAAAATATTCTCTATCCAATTCCATTCCCCATGTCACAAAAAGGGCAAAAACGCCAACCAGGCCTTCCCTGTCCACGCCTTCTTCTCGCAGATTGCCGTGGATTATAGTAGATTCTAGCGCCTTGATGTATCATATCTCCGCATCATGTATGCGACGAATGTGTACTTAGTGAACTGGACAAGGGTTCTTGTCCCTGATTTCCCGCCGTCTGGGTTACATGGAGTGTTTTGTGCTTTGAGCGCGGCCTTTTGTCTGATGCTTAGTGCGGTGTGTGCGCGAGTCATGGGAGATGGGGGACTTGTTACGCGTTACATGCATGTTACGTGTTACATCGTTAGCGTGTTGTGATCTTGATATAGAAGTTTTTATTTTAGATGTTGTTCTTTTTTTGGCAGGCTTGTGAACATGGCGGGCTTGTGGGGAGGGGTGTGGATTTGTTGTGCTGGGTATGGAAGGATGTGGCTGTTTGGGCTATTTTTGGGAGATGAGGGAGGAGGGGAGGATAGAAACGAGGTGTAGGGCTTGGAGGGGAGAGGGAAATGAGTCTGAAATGGAAGGGGAGAATGAGGGAGCGAAAACATGCGTGGTTGGGAGCGAGGGCGGTGTAGATGGGAGTGCGTTATGCGTGGTCTTGTTGATGTGTCTATATTTATATCAGCGTATTTTTTCACCATGTCATTTCTCTTTTCATGCAAGATCAAGCTCATTGAAATCCTGCAATATCAAACTCCTGATGTACAGAATATTGGCACAGACTTCGATAGTTTGTGAGTTTTTTAAACTTTGGTTGCTAGAAAAGGTAGTGCTTGATCCGTATTGTACTTCTCTCTAGAGATAAGAACGACAACCGATGAAACATATTCCGCCTTAATATCGTACAAGGGTACCAGAGTTTTTCCAACGAATACTCAAAATCAACTAGTCTACACCATTCGTTCACTGCCTCCGTTCGTCCTCGCCTCGTGTTAAAACTCTCTGTACAGATAGTCACGTTAGTAACTTTTGTGCCTTTCCATCCAACGCCTCATCTTTGATGATTTGGCTCAGCGACTTCTCCACAGACGGTTCGCCACACCAGGAGGCTAGAATCCCCGAGTCGTTTCAAGCGCCCCAATTATCTTGTGAGAGTTCGGATCCTTTTCGTCAAAACAGAGCTCAAGGTCGTAGAATCTAGTATGTGGATCAGGTTTCTTACGCCAGGAGGCTAGGATACTCCGAGACTTTTGAAGTGCCCTAGCAATCTCTCTGGAGCTCGGATCTTTTCCCTTAAAACAGCGCTCCTGCTCGCGGAAATTAGTGTATCGACTACGGAAATATTCATAAGCCGAGGTTTCAACACTTGTGAGGGCCTCTAGTCCAACAACAGTAGGATGTCCAGAAAGAATATCCTTGCGTAGCTTCTCCAAATCAGTAGGCGGAATGTCGGGATACTTTTTCTTAATTCTCCGCCGTAAATCTTCAAAGAGTTCTGCTCTTTTTGCTGCAAACTAAGAACGTGCCTTTGGGAGAACATCTGATGGAACACAGATGCCAATTTGCCTTGCACGCTTTTTCCGACTTTTAGGGTTACTATAGACGATGTATAGCTTCTGCGCGAGTTCGCGGCTTCTCCAAGTGATGAAGGTATTTCCAGTAGGCAGAAACTTGATTTTCGGTGGTGCGTGGCCTAGATCGAATATGATCTGCTCTCCCGCTTTGTTCGTGTACGTCTTATCGCCACTCTTTCCATATTTCGCATTGGTGTGAAGCTGTCGTTTCTGAGTGAATATATTGCTGGATTGTATCACCGGCCGGTGCATTCCTTGATTAGACAACTGTTTCTGTTCAACGTCAGTGTCAGCATATTCACAAATCATTCATATTATACCTTGTGTTGATCATAGCAGTTCTGAGTCAATGTCTAGGGAACTCTTTCAGGTGATGCAGTTATGAAGGAGCTGTAAACAAGATGTCGCAGTAACTTTACGGCGCCCATTGTCGGGTTTGATGCTGTGAAAGGAGTGTCAAGCGATGGCGATCTGTGTATGCTCAAGCGTATCGCAACAACCGCTAGATCCTTCATTCTGCAGCTCGGCCGTGTGAGTAAGGGTGCTTTGAATGTGAGGTTCTTGATATGTTTTCTTTGACGTCCAACTTGCAATCTGTGACTTTGACTTTGGCAACTTGGGACAGCTTTCGTACCTCTACGCGAGTGCGGTAGTGATGATGGTACCCGAAGTTTCTCACGAGTAAGCCTTCAAGCCGGTATTTTTCGCATTGATTCGAGCATCACTGGGATTTACCTAGAGGGTGTTTCTATACCTTCCATGGATGTGACGATAGTACAATCACGGCGGGAAATTGTGGAGTACTTCTTCATGCACCACTGGCTACCTAATGTGGAGGATTGGAGCAAGGTCGCGGACTTGATATATCAATGGCTGCTTGCACCTGGTCTTTTGTCCGCCTGAAGATGGGGTGATTAAGTTGGCATCGCGTCCGCGGTAGAAAGTACATCCGACCCGGCGGAGGCCGTGCGCTCCGGAACAACATGATCAGGAGTTGGCTGAAACCTACACTCTCTTGGTAGCCTCAGCTGTTCCAGGTCACTATTTGTATGTCCGGCTCCAACGACTTCAAATACAGAATGTCCAATACTGTAGCCCCAGAGAAAGAGAGCCACGTCAGCATAGCGCAATCACAGCCAATCAACGCCACTGCGTTCAATCGCTACCTAACGCTCATCGCCATTAAGCTTGCTAGGCGCTTCCGAAAACAACCTGATATCCCCATACTATTTCTTTTCAAGAAGCTATGCGTAAAGTGCGGTACTCAAGTTGATCTTAGCGAGGCTTCAACTATGCAATTCGTCGCAAAGCATACCTCGATTCCAGTCCCTCGCGTTCACTGCGCTTTCACGCACAAAAACCGAACATATATTGTGATGGAGCGGATACACGGAGAACCAGTTTGTGACAGCTGGCGTATACGTTCAGAGGAAAGTAGGGCGAGAATACTAGCCCAGCTCAAGAACATGGTTGAGGAGATGTGTCGCATCACGCCTCCGGATGGCATCGGTGTCGCTAACGTAGATGGCGGCTCCTTGTATGATATGAAGCTACCTAGTTCATCGGGTCATTTCGGGCCTTTTAGGACGATCCACGACTTTCACAGGTACCTGCGAGGAGGTCTGGAAGCACAGCCAAACCATTATCCGGAGATCAGTGAACTCATCTCTCAGCAAGACAAATATGGGTCCCCTCCACCGGTATTCACTCATGGAGACTTGCACAGCGCGAATATTCTCGCTTCTGGGGATAAAGTCGTTGGTATTGTTGATTGGGAAACGGCTGGATGGTACCCTGCTTACTGGGAGTACACTACTGCCTGGAATGTAAACCCGCGAAATTTAATCTGGCGAGAAGCCGTCGACAAATTCCTGCAGCCTCTGCCGGAAGAACTGAAGATGGAAAGGATACGGCTCAAATACTTTGGAGATGTGACTGACTAATATATGCAGACTCCGCAACAATCAATCGATTGACATGATTGATTCCTATATAGGTTAAAGAATTACTTCATTAGGCAGCCTTTAACCTAGATAGGAATCAATCATGCCGATCCGATTGATTGTTGCGGAGTCTGGATATATGCACAATTGCCCAGTCTCAACCGTTATATTATTGTCTCCTTCCCCTCGATCAAGTCGTATGTAGGCACCTTTTTCATATCAAAGTTTGATCCAACTATCAAAGCGATGCTCTTCCCTCTTTCGCTGACAGTATTCCATTGCACTTGTTTTGACCTTCGTCCATTCCGTCACACCTGTCCCCAGAGCTTTTCCGTCTGCTTCTAAACTCTGCAATGCTTCTTGTACCCAGGCAACACAATTCCATCCCACTACGCCTTGTTTGAATGGTGTGTTTCGAAGAATGGATTGAAGTCGATCTTTGTTCTCCACCTTGGCTATCAATACTCGCACGAGCAACGCCGATGTGGGTAACATGGAAGTTTTCTTCTCTTCGAAGAGCCATTCCATTTGTCCTTCCGCTGTAATGCCGTGTTTTGCATGATAACGCGTGCCTTTGCCTTGATCGCCCTGTTTCTCCTCTTTCTCGTTTTTAGGGCCAACCACAAGCGCCCAGTGGTAACTGTGTTATTATTAGATTTATCAATGAACTCCTCTGCAAAATATGCATTATACTCTATGTAGTTACTTACGTGTCTTCTTTGCCGGGCATAGTGGGTGATCCGCCCCGAGCGTAGAGTGCAACATAAAGACGATCTTTGTTGGATGGTATCGTGCGGAGGTCAAGACCTGTGGTCAGAGAGTGCGCAAAATTAACTGGTTATGATATCTGATAAACCTCAAAGGGATCTGCGATAGATTATCGACACATCATGGTGTATGTAAGTTAACCGTTGGTTATCGATTCTCGGTTCGCGGTTCGCGGTTGACTAGTCGCGGCGCAGTAGATCGTCTCAGGACGCGTTGACATCTAGGCGCCTTCTCTGTGCCAATGGAACCGTCCCTATCCAACTTTGTGCACCCCGGTTTGATCCGGATAAGCACCGAGCATTTTTGCCTGCGACAGCTACGCCTCATTATTGTCGAACCCAATCTCAATGCGAGCTCAGTTGTATGGTCTTTTCAGATGTACTAACACTTGCCAATCCGTGTTGGCTTTCTGGCTGCGTCACACACATAGTAAGCTCCCTGCCTACTGTTCGAGACCATACTGATCTTAAGCTTGAACATGCAGGGGAATCATGTCAAGCTAGTTCGTACTTCAATTGTGGTCAAGCATCCAAGTCTACCTAGATACCTACGTAGTAGTAGCTACCAACCATGGCGCTATGTCATTCCCTCGTTGTTGCTGAGAAAGCATTTATTTTATAAACCAGGCATATAATCCTCGAGATGGCACTGTAAAAAAAACTAGACGGAGTTCAACGCTGCCTACCCAGGGAACGTTACCGTTGTCCGGACCTGTGTCACCCACTATTCCCAGATCAGATTAGCGTCAGGGGTCGAGCGATAGAAGAAACCCGAAAGGTATAGTCCAGATTTACAGGTAGCTCGTCAGCACCTTTGCCTGTATTCTCGTGATTCAACACAACCTACTGGGGCGGAATTGTTCGATGCATCAAACTCGAGTGTGCCAATCCGAGAAGACCAGCTGCCAGGGTCGTTATATATTGGATGATCGTGTCCTATGCGGGCACTAGTGTATAAGTGATAACGTAGAAAAGATGCCTGTACCGAATTTGCGATAGATTACCAAGACTAAATAACTGAACATAACTCTAGATACCTACTATCGAAAATGAGTGACATTATGGTACATTATGGGTAGGAAATTTGCGACCTCACTAGAAAAGGCTGTAATGACTGGAATAAGTCTTCTTTGAAGACACAGTGTCCGAAAAAAATCCCTTGTAAAATATTAGATAAAACAGTCAAGAGTCTGTCTGTTCTATCGTCATCGTCTGCCCTGTCGGGTCGCCAGACCGTATCGTCTCGCGTCTGCCTTGCCCAACACAGCATCATATGGTGGGTCGTCTGTCTTGGTTACGAGGAACCGTGTGTTATGCTGATGCTCTGGGTCGTGCTCCAAGTACCAGTAGAGATCAACATACCCTTCCGCTTCTTCGCTATGCATCTGTGTCCGTATACGTATCGTTGCGTCTTTATCGAATGGCTGGGTGTCCTCGCGAAGGACGTTTGAAACGAGCCGATGAGATATGTAGTTCTCGTTGGATGATTTGTCGTATGAAAGAATCGCAGCGCGCGATATTCTTTCGCCCTGAAGCTTTCCGCAGCACACCCTTATCTGTGTTGGTGAGCGGAGGCTGTGCTGTTGCGCGTAAGTAACGTCAACAATCCCATTAGTGGTCTGAAATGCACGCACAGGTTTAGCAAAGGTGAAGAGATTACAGCCCATAGTGTGTATGACGCATATGAGCGCCAGTGATGTCGCTTTCGGATTGCGGATGGGGGTGTGTGGTTATGGTTGTAAAACAAGAACAGCTTGCCGCGCTTTCGCGAGCCCTTCCACCTGGGAGCCTGACTAAAACGAGCGGAAAAACCCCTTCTACTGTCTCCATTGTCATGAGGAGACATAGAGTGCGATACATACTGCTTACACATAAACTATCATGGAAACATAACACTGATCATTACACCGAGTACAAGAATAATGTATATCCTCTTGCCGTTGACAGAATCGTTGAGTTGCTAGAAAGTTAGCTATACGCCTGACCATCGTTTGGTCCTCCAAGGGTCCGTGCTGCAGGATGAGTCCAGTCCAGGACCCCGTAAGTGTGGCGCATTCGACTAAGCCGGTTTTGTCGCGATCCCGCCCTGCAAGCACATCCGGGGGACGAGTAAAACTCAACACGCCAAGCCCGATCTGGCCAAAAAGTAGGCTATTCTACTTGTGGCCAAGCAGCTTGCGCGGAGCGAAGTTGACCGGTGCTCTAACGTGTTCCACCACCGAATGCACGGCCCCACCGAATGCACGGCCCCACCGAATGCACGGCCCCACCGAATGCACGAACACCACAAATTGCCCACCTTAAACTTCAGCCTATACAGCCACCCACAATAGATAATTTCACAGGAATTTTTAGTGTTAGGTTTTTATCACATTACAGAGTATATTAGGAGTTTTTTATTACATGAGCAGCTTTGTAGGTGGTCTTATTGGCCGGCTGCGTTGGGTGAGCTGCGGAGCAGCCGATGCAGCTTTATTAATAACAAGAGGAATCCTATTAGCTATAACAGTCGCAGCAGCGTTAGTAGGCTTAAGGCTTTAACTCTTACCCTTTTAGTATAATTTAATATTATTTTAAAGTTATTTCTAAAGCTACTTCGCTATCTTATCTTCCTCGCGCTAAAGGGCTTTCTTAGCAGCTAAGCGCTTCCACTCCTCCTTCGCTGCAACTCGCTTTAAACGACGCTCTTTAAGTACTTAAGCTTTAGTAAGCTTCTACTACTTACGAAGCTAAATTGCCTTACTTTTTTACCGCTGCAACTCCTATTCTTATGTAATGGGCTAGGCCCAGTCGGATGAGACTCGGCTGGAAGCCTCGGAGACCAGAACATCAGAACCTGCCGATACCGGACAAAGGACCCGCCCGACACATCGGTTACCGGTAAAGATATCCGGAAGCCGGATGTCTATCCGAAGAAACTATATAGCCGGATAGCCCTCCATAGATCTTAGGTTAACGAATTCATCTGATTCTTTCTGGCAATTGCCTTTAGGGTCAGCCCCTTTCACTTAAATAGCTCTAGATTAAACCTAATAGATAAGGGTAGGCGTTAGCGACGTACTATTAGCGTAGATGCAAGCTATAGTAGTGATCTACTTATAGTTGCTATCCTATATAATGTGCCGTAGCTTTCCTTTCTTAAAAGCGCTCTTAGAGAATACCCGCTTTATCTTTAACAGCACGCTAATTAGGAAGCCCTTCTTATCTATATTATATATATGCTAGTAATCTATATTATATTACTTAATTTTTCACTTAAGAAGCTTAAAGTATAGCCTATACTTAAAGGCGGAGTCAGCTTTAAAGCGGTTGCGATCGAGGCCGGATGCCTAGTGTAAGATAAGATCGATCTAGTGGCGGCGCACGAAGCGACTAGCCTAGTTTTTTCCTATATCTTTTTAAGCTATCTAGCTCGCAAAATTGCGTATTATTAGCTCAGATAGAGGTAGCCCGCGGCTCACAAGTGTGTGTATATATTTTATAAGCTCGGATTCCTGCGTAGTGTTAAGCAATCGGCTATTTGCAAGTGCTGTTGCACGCGCTCGTGTAAGCCCTCGGTGTCGTCGTGATAATGTAGATCGGTCACAATCGTACTTCGCAGCAATATCTGCATATATAAAATTATCTCTAAGGCTTAGCGATTTAATTGCTGCAAGCGCAGCTTCAATACCTGTCATGGTGGTTGAGATATAATTGATTGAAAAATGTGGGAAAAGCGGTGTTGGATGCATTCGGTGGGGCCGTGCACTCGGTGGTGGAACACGTTAACTCCAATAGGCTTATGGTCGCAATCCATCGCGCGCAGCGAGCATGGCCAGCACGTCGGCAACGCTTCACATCGTAGCCTGTAGCATATTCATTGACTGCAGTTATTATTCCGCTCCCCCCCAGTCCTAGAATCAATGCTAAGTGTTTGGAGGCTTCTTGTTCTACCTGACATAGGTTCAGTACCCGCCCAGAGATGCAAGAGAAGGCAAATTCTGGACCGCTCACCGTTTAGATCTGCTGGTCCTCCTACGCACTAGCTAGGCTCTACGTAACTCTAGATCAGCCAGAGAAATTGTTGTTATGCAGAATACCTGATCTAACTTTGCGATGCGCAAATACCTATAGGAATCCGCTTCTTCTTGTTCTGTTCTTTTCCCTAGTCCACAACACATTGTAGCGTGCGAGGAACCCATTTCCCTCGCTGGTGTGAGATTAGGCTGGAAATTTGGAACCATGGCTGTGCAGACAGATGGAGATAAGAATGACCAAGACGACGTGTTCGTGCATGTGGCTTGCCAAAACTGCATGCGAAGGCCAACATCAATGATCAGCGAATCGACGTCTACAGACATAGTGGCAGTGATGTCGAAAGGGCTAAGCGTATCTGCAGATAGCAAGGCAAGCTCAGCCTTTCGTATGTATGTTATAACTCATGAGCTCCCCTCGACAGTTAGAACCCATTCCACAATTTTACCGCTCAAGTGAGCCTAACACACTATTCTTATCTAAACAGATTCAAAGCAAGATCATGGCCCCATACGATCCTTTCCACGACATCACCATAGGCTATCCAAAGCTGGCAGCTCGAACAGAAGTACAGCCTGAGCTCGCCATTTACCGTCGATTCGGAGCGATGAACGCCCAGAATCTGCTATACTACCAAGCCGAGCTTGTGGACTTGGAAGTAAAACTGCGGGCGCAACAAGTACGAGATGACAAAGACCGAAAAGGACAGAAGACCAAGTATGCGAAAACTTGGTTTCGACTCGAGGACTCTGAGGACGGTGACAAAACGCAGCTGAATCTTGTCATGAAGATGAGAGAGAAATTGAAAGAATACAGCAAGTTTCACACCCATGTACCCCTCAATAAGCATATACAGTTTACTCATATTGAAACACGCAGATGACGCTCTGATCCAACAATCCATCATTCTCAATCTTCCCAAACCAGCAAGGTGGGATCTGCATTGGCTCCAAAAATACCTACAATCCAAGGAGATGGGGGAGCTTGCATTGCTCGGAGAAGACGCAGAAGTGTGGGGCTCCATGGAAGAACCACACGGGTACAAGCCTGACCTTGTGGCACTGAAGCCACGAGTCAATGAAGACCCCTTCTCCGCCTGGGCAGCAAGGAATACCATAGTTGGCCTTGAAAGATGCGGGTTGGACCGCTTTCTCAGACCATCTCCCGTGCACGGAGTTGTGGGATACGAGGATACCACCATCTATTCCATCACATATTGCATGAACAGTATTCTGGCATCGTTGATACCGATAGCCTCAATAGTTGTACTCTGTTTTGTGAGTTCAATGCCTGCAAGGCTTGGGACTATCGCCGGATTCAATGTCTTGGTCTCTATCTGTCTCATGGCATTTGCGGGGGCAAAACGCGCTGAAGTGTTTGCTATCTCGGCTGCGTATGTATAGAGCTGCCTCTCCATGGCTATTTCTCCTTGAGCTGACGTCATTAGTTTCGCTGCTGTGCAAGTAGTGTTTGTTGGAACAGACCAAAGCTCATCCTCGAGCACTTGATAAAGGTTGATGACTGTTACGGATCCAGATATCCAGATCCGTGGACCCATATCGATAACCCTTTATCTTATCGGCACTAGCGCCTTGGCATCCACAACATTAAGTTTGGGCTTACTGAGTGTCAAATCCAATCTTTCTCCTTACTCAATCGATCCCTCACAAAGACGCATGATGGCGATATGATGATATTCAGGTCACCGTAACAGTAATTTCATTTGGTAAATTAGCAACCATGATAATTACCAACATTGCGTGAACTACAATCCCAAGCAGAAAGATTTACCTGATATGCTATGAGAAGTAATAATTATAGCATCTAGGTATAAATGAATAAGTGATAACTATTCTATAAGAAGTTATAATGTTGGCATCTAAGTATGAATGAATAGCTGACCGAAGTCCTTGAAGACTTTGGCGCGTGAAGAAAAAACATGAAGATGAAGAAAGATTTTAAATCTTAACAAACTTCATAACTCGTCCCCAGTGACGACGGGAGAGATGACTGAGAAGTGAAAAGGGGATTGGAGATGAAGAAACATCGCCTTCTTTATTTAAAACCATCCACCCAGTTTATCAAGGTCATTGCGCCATCCCTGTGGGAGTAATGAAGGGACGCCGCCCTCTTTGTTCAAAATCGTCCACCCAGATTATCAAGGTCATTACGCCATCACTGTGGCTTCGATGAAGAGAAAAAGGAATATGCCTGTCTCTATGTATACCAGCAAAGGTCAGAGACGCATCATTAGTCGTAATAATGGAAACCCCTGTATCGATGTATGTATGTAGCATTGCAGAGTCGTTGTGAGGAGCAAGGCCGTGCGATTCTCATGATGTCGACGGCGCATTTGACGTGGAGTTTCCTTGGGCCTTGTTGATCTTAGCGCGTTGCATCAGAAGCGTTACGCAAGATGTAGCATACCTTTTGTTTTTCACGTTCCGCCTTGTCTTGTTTTTCCTTTTCGCGTGCAGTTTTGGCCTCATCGTTCTTTTGCTGGCGACTTTCACCTACGTCCAAGCTATCAGTGACCATAGATGATGATTATGATTCTCAACATACCTCTTACTGTAGGGGATCTAGGGTACAAAGCAAAAATCCGAGGCGGCCGATTGATTTTGTACAGACGTAATCTGACCAAGTCGGCTTTGCCCATGAGTAAGTCGAATTTTTCCGTTTCCATTATGTGGCAAGTGGCATCTGCATAGCGGCGCATACGGAACTCGGGTGCAAACCAGCGTACTTTTACCGTCCCCAGGCTCTGAACCGTCTCTCCGTTGAGGAGCTCACCAACATCTTGAGCTTCACAAGAAGGATCCTGAGTCCAGCCAAGCGTACGCATGAAATCGGCGGAAATAAGGTTGACGTTTTCGCATCCTGAATCGAGTTGAATTATAGCCGACATTGTCCTATCACTTTGATTTTCATCTTTTGCGAAGGCAACTGTCCCCTCCTGGATCCATATATCTCCTTCCTTAGCTCTAACGGGCTGTAAAGGCTTCAAACTCTGTATCACGGAAGACCAAAGTTTTTTCAATAGCGAGGGACCAATCGAGGCCGGAGTAGAGTCGGAAGGGATATGGTGTGAAGTAACGGGCTGTGCAGCGTCGGGTGTCGCACCGCACGCAACGGTCTCGGGATGTGTAGTCATCGCTTCATCGGCAGCTAGAGAACCAAATTCATGAGCATTTGCAGCGCAGCGGGATAAGCAAGAAAACTTACTGGTTGGCCTATGCGAAACGCGCGCGGATGACTATGGAGGCTGCAGTAGGGCGTTCTTGTCTTGGAGTTGGGCAGGCGTTGTACGACCACCGCGCCACCTCAAAAAGATAGCGATGAGTGGTAAAGGAGCTTCACTTAGTCCTTAGGCGCTCGCTGGTATGGCGGTTATACTGGTATGTAGCAGTCGTGTCGTGGATGGCCGCTGCTGGGGATGCGGTACCGGGAACGGCCTGCTCGAACGCGTATCCAGAAACTACAGCATTGTAGATACTGGACGTGTACGTATATGTGTATGTTATATGATTTGCGTATGTATAAGCAGGGGCAATGTAGTCAGTGAATGCGCAAACTGCACATGTGCACTGGGAGCTTTGTCGAGGTTTCGATAGAAGGTGTGTCGGAGGAAAACAACACAATGGACGGGTAGCCCACGAAATCAGGTAGGCGGAGCCGCTGTGAGTTGCAAACCACAAAAGGTTCCTGACGAGCCAAGCTGCATGTGGCCAATCGCTGACCCTAGGAAGCTCCACTCAATGAGGTTCTTGTACCAGCAGTCAGGACCGTTTGGGACGTACAAAGCTGAGCATCTGAATACCTACCAAAGGATCAACATGCAATGCAATCGCCCCATCAGCCGCTGTCTACCTAGCCCTACGCAGGTACACCTTCAGACCACGTCCGCCCGACACACCCCCGCCGCTACCCGTACTTTTGCCTCTCCGACTTCGCTGATTTTCGCACTAGTGACCATACCCGTGGAACCAATGTCAGCGCCACAAAGTTCCCTCCCAAGCTCTGTCATATCCTACTAGCAGCTGGTATCGAGGTCTCATCCGTGTACTTATCTATGATGTCATATTAGTAAGTGGTGATTAGACGCACGGAGCACATTTCCGGTCCATGGCACGAGCTGCGAACATGAGCGTGAGCATGTGCACGCAACGGGCTGCAGTATCAGCATATGAAGAGAATAGATCTACTTACTGTAACGTACAGAACTACCCAAGAACCTGTGGGGTGTCAAAAAAAGACAAAACAAAGCTGGTACGATCCTCAACCGGTATCGACCAATAACGTAAAACCAGAATTATAAGAACACATATCCTCGTACAGAGGAGCCCACGCGAAGAGGATGGAGCTAAAAGGCATTACCCTATAAAAAAACCCTCGAGTAGCACAGCTATGGGCTGTATGTAGTTACAATGGCGAAACTTATACCCGAGTTTGGCAAAGAAGCTAGTATCCAGCACGATCAATTGGATCTAATGTTTTTTTCAACGTCTAGAACCTTCAATATGCTGAACAGAATGAAATGCCACAGCTTGCAACGTTGAAGACGCTGTACGTTGTGCAATTGTGCAAATAGCCCTACACAGGACCTGTTTGGGTATCTCATGCCGCCCCTTTCTCTCTCTACCTTCAAAACGGCTTCGCAGCCTTCCTCAACTCAGCCTTCCCACTAACCGGATCCCTAAACTCCTTCCAACTAACCGGATGCATGATCCTGCCCTCCTCGCTCCTCGCCAGCACAACACCATACTCATTTGAGTCCGTCGCGACATAGTAATTGCCACTATCTCCCAAACTAATCACCGTCCCGCGCACGAGATCGCCCACGCGGAAGCTCTCTTCAATCTTGATCTTGTCTTTTTCCGTGGCGCGGATGTCTTCGCGCCGGATCTGCGCTACGAAGGCTTCGCGGCATACGAGGTTGTCGATGACGAGGATCTCGCAGGAGGCAAAACGCGAGCCGAGGCGTGTTATGCGCACGAGGACGGTGCTGGAGACGGTGGGGAGGAGTGGGATGCCGGCACCTGAGTTGGGGCCTAGGATGCCGGGGTCGGTCGAGCTTGGGGGGCGCGTTATTGAAAGGAGGGGTGTGAGGTTGCTGGATTTGGAGGTTGTATTTGCGGTGGAAGAAGAAGGTGTAGATATGACGAGTCCGGCGATTGAAGCGTAGATTTGCGACTCGTGAATATGTGTTCCTGGGCCAGGCAGGTAGTCGCTGGTTTTGGCGAGGAATTGCCCTGGTTTGTGTTAGTTAAAGACGCTGGAAACGAACCTACTCTAATCGCATACCTGGTAGCGCTATTTGGGGGAGCGTCATGGTGGGTGTGGTTTGAAACAGACGCGAGAGTGTTGATGTTGTGGACCCAAGTGGAACTTTTTGGTTGTTGCTAACTAGCTCGTTGCGTCATGCCGCGCCCGCTAGTTAAGACGTGCCATCTCACCTGTCAAAAGTCAAAAAAGCAAACACTCATACAAAGACGTGTGCAGTCCGGAGACATGTATTACACTAGGATAGTTGATATTGGTAGTTGCTGCGAAGCCGCAATTCTTGCGCTTTTGGAAGCGCGAAACCTCCGACCCAGCCGAGCTCTCATCGCTCTGAATCGTACAAGCCCTTCCGCAAATACAAAGCAGAAGAACGCCGGTTTTAACCCGCCATGTATAGATGACCTTGCTCCAATCGCCGAGCCATGCAATCCCACGCAAATAAATCATTCAAGTCATTCGCTCATGGTAACGTTCCGATAAAAGACGCGTCCCATCTGCCCTTCAGATAGGTTCGCCTTGGTTCCTTCTGTCCTGGGTCTGACTCTACGGTCCGGCGACTAGACGGCTTGGTAGAGGAGCAGTGGCTCACCAATGTTTTCTATCTCGGGAATGGTGCACTTTAGATCAAAGGCTTTGGACAGCACGATCTTGAAGATCTGGACGGGTGTTAACAAAACTAAAGCCAATACGGGACGCGTTGTTTACCTTTTGCACATTGATGCTGTGACTGGTTGAGCTGAAGATGAGACTAGCCTTCATCGCCCTGGCAAAGCGCTTAGCCTGGCCATGGTTAGCTTGGGACCCTTGCCAATCATAAGCGATATCGCGCACCTGGTTGGAGATCTCTTCCTGCTCCTCCCGGGGGAAGTTGACAAAGTGATCGTACTTTGTGCCTACCAAGAACGGGATGGCAGTCTTGTTGAACCCCCTCCCTTGGCGGTACCATTCCTTGATGGAGTTGAGTGTGCTCTTTCGCGTCAGATCGAACATGAAGAGTATAGCGACGGCGTCGTTGCAGACGAGCGGCAGCATGTTTACGAATTCACGTTGACCGCCCAGGTCCCAGATGGAGAAGGTGATTTCCGTGTTGCGGATTGAGATTGTTTTTTCCATAAAGTTGACACCTGCGCGGGTCAGTGCCTGCAACGTGTAAAGGGCGTTTGTGCAACGTACCCAATGTTTGGATGTAGTCCTCGTCCCAGCTGCCCTCGACGTACTTGACCATCAGGCTGGTCTTGCCAATCTGTGCGTCGCCCACCATGCCGACCTTGATGACCACACTGGCATTCTTGGCGGCCTCTTGCTGCTGTTGTTGCTGCGCGCTCCGTTGCTCCTGGTATGAATTTGAGCGCGCGCCGCCCTCTGAGGTTGGATAGCGTCCCATCTGCGAGCTCGGCCGTGAGTGCGACTGGCCCATGTGTGTCTCTTTGCTGCCGTCATAGTAGCCATGTCGCGGCGGTGTGTCGGCATCTGAAGATGTGTTGAAGCGCGAACCATTATGTGTAGTATATTGATAGGCGGTGTCCGAGTACGACGTCGACGGTCGCAGCTCATGGGCGGGGGGATTTGGGCTGTTGTTATGACTGAAGTCGGGCGGTGGGCCAACGGTCGAGGCGGTGATTGTTGTGTTCATGCTGTCTTCGGCGACGGCAACGGCGTCCATAGTTTGGTCCATGTGCTTCTGGGGCGGCTCCTGAGAGTCTGCGGGCACGTGTTCGGGCGCAATGTCCATGGGCGGAGCGTGTTCTGGTTGTGCGTCTTGACTCGAGTATTCTGCCATATCCGGGATGTGTTTTGGATCTAGTCGGACGTGAGCGAACGGCCCCCGCGAGCTGAGCATCGACGCGTCGGGCGTTGGCCTGCAATCATGCCCGCGGGCGCTAGCGCCCAGAAAGCCCCGCTAATCCTTCACAGCCAAAAACTTTTGGAGATTTCCCATCTTCGCAAAAAAAGACAAAAATCCTCACACTCCCCGATTGTCCACCCATCATGTCGAAGCGATCAGCAGACTCGGAGCAGGAGCAGGAGGCTATTAAGAATGGCGAGCGTCCCATGGAAATTGACCAGAACGAGGCGGGAGAATTCGAAGATGAATTTGAGGATGAGTTTGAGAGCGAGGACGAGATATTGGAGGCGGGTGTAGATGGACGGCCGGATGAGGAGCGTGAGGCTGAAGAGCGCGAACGTATGTTGTCCATGTTCTAGGCGTGCGCTAGAGGTACTGACAGTTCAAGACGGCATGGATGTCGACCAAGATACTTTCATACCGGGCCGACACAAACTATCACCAGGCGAAACCCTCAACCCCGATCTGTCCACATACGAGATGTTGCACGCACTAGAAGCGCCGTGGCCCTGTCTCTCCTGCGATATCATACCGGACCGTCTCGGTTCAGATCGCAAAACGTACCCCGCTACCGTATACTCTGTCGCCGGTACCCAGGCAGCGCGGGGGAGGGACAAAGAGAATCAGATCATGGTCATGAAGATGAGCAGTCTGTCGCGTATGGAGAAGGAAGACGAGGAAGATGACGAGGACGATTCCGACGACGAGGCCTCAGATCCCATACTAGAAACAAAGTCAATACCCTTGACAAGTTGCACCAACCGCATACGAGCACATCAAACACCACAAGCCACATCTGCCCAGCCTCCAACTACCCTCACTGCTGCCATGACCGAGTCCGGCCAAGTTCTCATCCACGACGTCACTCCACACCTCACAGCCTTCGACACGCCCGGCACCACAATCTCACCCTCGCAAAATAAGCCCGTCTGCACAATCCGCGCACACGGATCGAATGAGGGCTACGCGCTAGACTGGTCGCCTCTGATACCAGAGGGAAAGCTTTTGACAGGTGACAGTGTTGGAAGCATCTTTGCGACAACACGGACACAGGGAGGCGGTTTTGTAACAGACACTACTCCATATACCGGCCACAAAGGCTCAGTCGAGGAGCTACAGTGGTCGCCAACCGAAAAACATGTCTTTTCGTCAGCGTCGAGTGACGGTACCGTCAAGATCTGGGATGCGCGCTCAAAGTCACGGAAACCAGTACTTAGTGTACAAGCATCAAAAACAGACGTCAACGTACTCAGCTGGTCGCACCAGACCGCACATCTCCTCGCTAGCGGTGCCGATGACGGTGAATGGGCAGTCTGGGACCTGCGACAGTGGAAGCCTTCCACCGACATGTCCAACGACAAGAAGCCCTCACCAGTCGCATCCTACACCTTCCACAAGGAGCAAATCACTTCGGTTGAGTGGCATCCCACAGATGACAGTATCGTTCTTGTTTGCGCCGGCGATAACACCCTCACACTATGGGACTTGGCTGTCGAGCTCGACGACGAAGAGAGCAAGTACACAGCCGGTGTACAAGATGTGCCACCGCAATTGTTGTTTGTTCACTACATGGATCAAATCAAGGAGGCGCACTGGCACCCCCAGATTCCGGGTACCATCATGGCTACAGGTGGCTCAGGTTTCAATGTTTTCAAGACGATTAGTGTATAGATTTAGATTCATACATGATGAGAAATGAGAAAAAAAAAGACAAGGCACTGTTTGGCTGGTTGTATAGCACGCGCGATCACGTTACCGTACTATTTCCCCGCACCCTTCAAAGGCATGCATGCCGGATCCGGAACTTGACAGAGACAAAGACAACAAAAACATCTCTGGAAAGATCGACACTAAGTAATTGTGCTCATGTTAAATGTACCCGAATTGTCCCCTTGCCAAACGACTACCAAATTCTCTCTCATGTTCACTCGTGTTATTCCAATCAACTCTTATCCAAACTAAACCTCTCTCTGAACTAAATACCAAGTTTCACCGCGAAAACTATACACCATGGACGACATCATGGATGACGCAACACCTACACAAAACACCTCTCAACCACCACCCCGAAAGATTCTACAGCCAAAAGGCCGCCTAAACCGTCCACCCCCAACACAACCCACACCGCAGCCACCAAAACCCCATCTCACCTTTGACAACAAGTATACCAAATGTTCATAGACCCAAGCAAACCATCTTACCACATCGACCACTACCACTACCTAGTGATGCTCTCCCAAGCGACCATACACTCGCAGTTCGCAAAGGAGGGTAGAAGAAGCGACCCAGTCATCCAATACATACTGCAGGACGTAAGCGACCATCGTGTGCAATACGCGTTGATCAACCGTATTCTGGAGCAGAGGGAGAAGGAGGGGGTGGACGTGGATATGGGGCCGTGTAGTTTATGTGTTGATCCGTTTGATTGGACTGCGATGATGATGATGATGATGATGATGATGATGTAGATTGATTGATTTGGTTATGTGAGAGATGGATGTTCTAAATCTTATGTGTTTTTCATATCTTACCCAAGACTGCAAGCTAATGATGGGAATGGAGATATCTGTGCATGAATATGCCATCTACACAGGCCTCTTTATAGGCCTTGGCCCTGTTGCCGTTGCCTCAGCGAGAAATAATGGTGTTCCTGCTTCACTCATTTCCCGGATCTTCTTGATCAAATTGCTGTACACGTGTTAGTCTTGATGCTCATCCCATGATGGCAAGATACATACCTAACAGGCAAATGTAACCGATCCTGTTCCCTCCACAAGATTCCTACAACCTTCTCCCTGCCCCGACTATGATCTTCCAAATGTTCGGTAATAAGCTGACGACCCAGATCCTTGCTACACCCATATATCTTCTGCGTGCACCCGTCGAAACTGCAGATCCACGAGTCACGCGGACCGTTGGCTTCGTACGTGGGCAAGGGCGTGGACACGAGGCGTGGTGCGACTGTTGGTTTGGTAGCGCTGGTGGTTGAGGATGATTCGGGGCGGTAGCGGAGTGGGAGAGGGGGTACGGCGCTTGCTTCTTCGTCGTCTTCGGGGGAGGAAGAGGTAGTGGGCGGGGACTCTGGGGCGAGAGAGGCGCTGGCTGCACGTTTTGAGCGGCTTTCGTCGTCTTGCGAGACGTCGGTTTCGTCTAGTTTACGCTTTTCGCGGGCGGGGGAGAGAGCTTGCGTGGGGGTTTGTATGCTCGAGTCTGCGTCGCTGCTTGTTGCCTCTTCGGTTTGGTCGGCGCCTGAGTCGTCGCTGGTGGCTATGGGTGCTTTGCCTTTGCCGCCTTTTTGCTTTCCGGGCGCGATTTTTACTCCCTTGCTTTTGCCTGATAACCTGTTACTCTTGGGTCGGAGGACGGATAGGCGGCCTTTCTTCCGTCGGCCTGGTGGCCTGCGTATGGGTGTCGTTATCGTGTCTTCCTCCTCTTCGTCTTCATCTTCATCCGTTGTATCTGATGAGTCACTTTCGCCATCTCTGAGCCTTGCGTGGTCTTTTCGTGGTTTCAGCTCTACACCCTCTGCTCTTCTTTGCTCGGCTGCAGGCAAGTTGTGTCCACCGGCTAGCTCTTGGTAGATGGGCTCAGCAGAGAAGAACTGTATGGTCTTCCGCCGCGGATGATCCATCATGTAGCATAGATTTTGAGCGTGCACTAATAGTACGTTCTTAGCAGTCTCCAATTCCTCAATCTCGTAGCGTCTGACCACGAGCTCAGCTACACGATCCAACGTTATCTGGTTTCGTCCTGCTCGTAGCACTTTTTGGTTCACGGCCTTTTGTATAAATTCGAAGAGTACCGCAGCCTCCCACCAGTTATCGTCCTTCTTTGGCGCTTCCGTCGGTTTCGACAAAGGGGTCTTGGATCGAGCTTTTTGCAGTGTAGGAGCTGGTGTTGGAGTCGAGGCAGGGACCAGCACGGGCGCTGATTTCGCGGATCTTCCGGGATGTACCTGGGAATAACGCCCCTCGATCCGTGCTTTGCAATCGTCAAAGTCTTGCTAGCCGTATGTTAGATTGTGACGGTAGTTTAACTTAATTGTCACTTGCAGGAAATCTTCGCCTAAAGCGTTGATATAGTGAGGTGCTACTCCAGCTCAAGCCCTGTGCTTTGTTCAGGAAGCACATCATAAGGAATAAATGATGGTGGTCAAAGAGTCGCTCTACCATGGCTACATCGTTACAAGGGAACCGTACGTCTTCTGCGTACTGTGACATGTCAGCCTCTCATGATTGACTGTTGCCTGCATCATACCTCTTGAAAGATAAGCTCAGCACTAGGTCCGCCGCCTTTCTTGCGCGATTCGCTATAGACGTCGGTGACAAAATATAGCAATTGCACGGCCTGAACCATATCATCATATATCGGCTTGTATGCAGCCGTCGGCCGTATCTCAAACCAACCCGCTTTGCCTTGTGCCCACATCACGTATGCGCCGTCGGTCATTTCGCCATAGGAAAAGCGTGTCACATTGCGTATCTCGATTTCTGTGGGCTTGTACGGCTTCTTGAGGACTGCAATCGCGTCAGTCGACTGTGTTTAATCAAACAACGCGCCTCAGAGACATGCGCGCGCCTCCACGTACGGTATTTTAGCTGGTTGCGCCCAGGTGTCTCCAGCCGACCCTCAACCTTGAGTGGTGTATCTGCATAGGCAGCCAACAGACTCGCAGGCTTGCCATTGCTCTCATATACGACTCGCGCATCGCTCAGTACAAAGATCTCCCAATCATCAGAATTCGTATTCGAGGCGTCAAGCGGCCGTAGTATCTCGGCTTCTGGAACAGTCATATTGGTGAGTGATACTAGGTAATCCAAGTTTCTGGAATCCAGAGTAGACGTCTCTCGCGGGGCGACATCCAAAGATAAAGGTAAAGGGCGATCTGTCGCGAATGCACAACGCGGGCACGAGGCTGTTTGGTCTGCAATGCGCGTCTCGGCACGTGTGTTATCGATAGCTAGCCGATCCCACTTGCGTCATGGAACCCGCTACTACCACTACATTTTTACTTCAATTCAAGAACTTACTTCTCATTGTCCTCCCTAAACTTCCACTCCTAAACGCACGAAAATTTACAGTTAAAATCCGAGATCAAATACATCCTTTCCCCTTACATCACCTTCGTCATGAATATAATATCCAAGCGCACCATATCTTCCCCATACGACCATAGGACACTGAGAACTAGGCTTCCCGTCCGCTCAGCCATATATAAGCAGTGTACCGGCGGATTAGTAGTTAGGTGGGTGACCACTAGCGAATCCCCGCTGTTGTATGTTTTTGCCGTTTTTTGTGAAGTCTTTTATTTTCGCCTATAATGATCTGAGTCGCATAATCAACTCGATATCAATCTAGGCTAACGTACTTTACAAGCGAGTGACGCGTACTGTGTCCGTACGCGCAATACACGGATTAGTGTAATACGCAACCCTAACAACACAATCAGATTTCATAAATAAGGCTGTAGATCACCACATATAACGGCTAGTATCGCGAGATGCCTCTGATTACATTGCGCTACTTATATTTGCCCGGAAGTTTGATGTTCCTGCCATGACGGGTCACTTTTGGTGGCGGCGCTGGTTGGTTGGTATTCATTTTACGTCTGTTTGATGGGGATATACGGCGAAGAGGATCTTGTTCTGATTACAGTAGTCAATAAACTCCATCGTATGGTGAGATCCATGCCCATCTAGGATCAGTAATCGATAGCTTGACCGTGCCTTCGCCTTTATACTGCGATCAAACACCTGTTTGAGCCACGCTAGGCTAATGTCAGGCCTACGCAATGTGAGGTGTACAATATATACTATTCTACCACAATGATCAGGAGTTCACTGATCATACGTACCTTTTTGGTTGCTGTTACGGATCCATAGACTCGCTCGGCCCATGGCCCCCATATCGATAAGATCCTTATCTTATCGGACTAGCGCCTTGGCGCCCACAGCATAAGTTCGGGCTCACAACGTAGATAGCTCGATAGCTTGTATCTTGTCAAATCCAATCTTTCTTGATCGATCCCTCACAACTCTCTAATACAATGACTATAAAGAGACTATCTAATTAATAGTAACTAATATTAGAAACCACAGCATTATCCTCGGCTAATCTTAGATGTTCAAGCACTAAGTTAGCATTGATTACGACCACGAACGACTACAATTCAACGCTGGCCGATGCAGGACACGATGCTTGGCCCGCTTAAACTCAAGACCTGAACTGTCCGCAACAGTAAAATACTGTCCTCTACTGTCTCGATCCCGCACCTAATCTCCAAAACCAACGATGCCAATTCGACATCGGCACAGCTAACTCTTGCCTAAGATGTATTGGCAATTACGCGAATCTACACCTAAACCTAAATCTGAACCCGAACCTAAACCTAAACTTAAGCTAGATATAGCGAGTTGCTTAGATTTCTCACCTAACGAAGAGCCTGAACTAGCCTTAGACGCCGAACTGAATATTGTTGGAGTGGGTGAACCGTACGCATAGGGAAGAAGTTGAGGATTGACTGAGGTTGTATTGTACAAGCTATGGAAAGTTTATGTAGGTGAGTGACCATAAACAGCGCTAGTCTCAGATAGGCATCGTCCCATCACCAAACCGTGACACACCCCTACGCTGGCAAATGGGTCGGGGTGTGGTTGGGGTTGGGTTAGAAATTTTGCGACCCCAACCCAACCCCAACCCATTTGTCAGCGCCAAGCTTAGGGTTGGGTTGGGGTTGGGTTGGGGTCGCACGGACCATGGGTTAGGGTTGGGTTATAGTAAAAAAATTGCAAGATGTATAATATAGATTTCAATAAAAGAAAAGTTTATATAGTATCACAGTAGATTAACACAGTGTAGCATTAACTAGTTTCATTTATAATATACAGAGGCTTCGCCAGCTAGCATTTAAGCACGTGTATCTAGATATATCTTATAATCTAGAGAAAAGCTAGTAACTCGCGCGCAAAGTAGCGCCTAGCCAATTGAGAATCCTTCTCTTGAATAGTAACCCTCTTTGCGTGAATAGCATTGATGTTGCAGTCTATAAAAGTTATTAAATGAAAAATAGTATAGGGTAGATAGACTATACCCTCAAAATAACCAACTAAGAAAGCTTCTGTAGCTTCCTGAAGAGCTTCGATTGCAGATCGTTGAAAGCGGATATCGGCCTTGTGCACCTGTGCAAATTCGCGCACTACGCGGGAAAAGGGGAGTTTTCGCAAGAGTAGTTCAAAACCTCTCTGGTATCTCTTGATTTCCCGTAATGCGACAGCTAAGCTAAATTAGAAAATAGCTGTGATAAACGACTGTGATAACCTACTGCCGGCCTTAAACTTGCGCTTCTTCTTAACAGCTACAGGTGCCTTTCGCGTAGACTTTCCTGCTACTTGACGTCTAGCCTTACTAGCAAGGGCCTTCTGAGCCGGCTTGCCGCCAGTAACTGTCTTGCCATCAGGACCACCCCGGCCGGCTTTACCGGTGACCTTAGGCCGTGGTTTTGTCCTTGCCATTGCGTAGTAGAGTAGATGATGAACGTAGGCGACGTATGTGATTAATTACTGTGATAAATGTGGTCGACAATTAAGAAAGTAGTAGGCTGAAAGAGTTAGGTAGCTGGAAAGTTTGGGCGACGGCAATTTCCCGATTTCCGCACTAGTAAAGGCAGCAGCGCACGGACTGCATGACGTAATTTGCTGTTTCACGATCGCATACAACCATTTCTGTTGCAAAATCAGTAGCGAGCATATCATACAAACGTGTTAAACTGCTGTGATAAACGCCGAGCTCGCGCATGCGTACAGCCCAAAAATGAAGGAATCATCGATGTGTTGATCATTTTGGGTAATTTCCGCGTTTTCGCGCTAGCGCAGGCAGCAGCGCACGGACCATTTCTAGGTGAGCATAATGCTGTCTACCCATTTCTCCAGCCCCTGACGCCCAGTAACTCCCAACACCTAATAACTCTCTTTACTACATTGAAAACACCCCATTTACAACAGCGCATTATCACAGTCCCCGCCATGCCTGTCGCGAAAGAGCAAGTCGGCGACGTACCTGAAGGCCTAGTTCCAGCCATCAAACTTGAACCTCCGCCTGGGTTCGAACAAGATGAGTGGGAGCAGCTTACCGATGTAATAATCACAGCCATTTATCACAGCTTATGCTAATATAAGCAGGGATTTGCGTGTGAAGCTGACGAGATTGACGGTATCTTAGATCAAAGAGGTAGTGGGGGTTCACGAAAAGGCCGACCTATCAATTTGAGCGTCCCCTATACTGGCTCTCTGAGTGGTAGCGCCCGTGCTATTGCTCAACGTGAACGCAAAGCTCTTTTCGATAAAGAGGAGAAGGTACTTGAAAGCGTTAGAACAGCCGACCGCTCCGCGAAGTACCAACTGAAGAAATCGCTTTTGCAACAGCCTAAGTATAAATTAGCAAATAGTGCTAGACAGGCTAAGCTGCTAGAGAAAGAGTGGGATATACTTTCAGAGAAGCGGTTTACCCAGAAAAAGTCTGGTAAGTTATCACAGCTGTTTATCATAGACATCTGCTAATAGACTATCCCAAGTGGCGAAGGATATACTAGCAATACCAATTGCTCAGGTTGGGGTTGAAAGAGTTTTCAATGTTGCTAAGGATGTTATTGGTAGTCGGAGGCACCGACTATCTGCCCGGACAATACAGCAGATAATGGTTCTTAAGGATACAATATCTCAAGAGGAAGAACAGGGTCTAGACTACCTAGTTGCTCAATTAGGGGAGGATGGAGAGCCAATTGACGAGGTTAATGATCTTTTTGAGCTTCCAGCCTCGTTAGAGCATACCTTCGATATAGATGAGGAGAACCAGACTACAGAAGAAGAGTCGGAGGAAGAGGTCCAGGAGGAGCGTCAATTGCCACCTCGAAAGCGCCAGCGTCCTCAGCGCTACCGTGATAATTAGCTGTGTTAATATATCTCGTTTTATGTATCTACTATATCATCAACGTGTACACATTATCTTAATTAAGTGTTGTTCCGTTAAAGTACCCAAAAAATATAACCCAACCCCAACCCAACCCAACCCAACCCAAGCCCAACCC